AAGGTCTGAGCTGGACGGAGGCCCAGAGGCCTCTGTGCAGCCCCGGAGGACGACAGCTGCCCTTCCCTCGGGACAGGATGTATGGGCAAGCAAATATGTTAACTGAATACGAATCATATGGTAGCCAGTAGTAATACAGGGAGACATTTTAAGGGGTGTTTGAGGCCTGTAGCCTGTAGCCAGTTGCATAAACACCCTTGAACGGAACTTCCTTTTAAATGTGTGGTCAATACCCTCACTATGGGGAAAGGGATCTATATCGAATATTTAGTGTTTTATGCAAGCGAGCCTTGGGCTTACCGCCAGGGACTGTGGACTACAGTCATGGATGCAGACGCTGCCATTGTGTCTTCTGCTCACCCTGCAGCGTAATGAGTCACCATTCTGTCAAGGGGAAGTCTCGTGCTGACACTGGGGGCTGTGTAGAGAAGTAGGGCTCCAGGCTCCCTGCTGGAAGGATAGTTTGCACTGGAATGTCCTTTGACAAGGTTCCCTTCCCCTGTCACTCAGCACCGTAGGAGTGGGTGCAGGGATCATTTGGATAACCCCACGATGGGCTAGGGCCCATCTGCAGAAGCCAGGACTCGCTCCAATGTGGAGAGACTCGAGGCCTGAGCGGTACTGCTGCTGCATGAGCAAGGATGATTCGTCTTAGTTTGCACAGGGCTTTAATCACAGTGCAGCCCTCTGCAGTGTCCCCAGCCCTGTCCTCTGCAGTGTCCCCAGCCCTGCAGAACCACCAGCGCTCTTGTGGTGCTGACTGGGGAAACAGAAAGAGAAGCACTGTGCCAAATATTTTGGGATTAGACAAACATTCCTCCCCAGATTTACAAATCTAACCCCAGAATTCCCACACCTGCCAGAATCACAACAACTCCCACACTGGAGAGGGAGGAGGGAACTCAGTTGAACCGGCAGCCCAGTATGTGACCTCCTGTCGCAGCCTGAGGAACAGTGCACCTGTCTTGTCAGTCATGCTCCATATGTTTATATGTAAATAGCTGATGATCTGTCTGTATTGTAAATGTCTGAAGATTGTTTTATGTTAATTGTGTTTGTTTTGCTTTGGCAACCCTGATTTCACTCAGTGGTCGTGCCAGTAAAGCATCTCGAATGGCATTGCATTGAACTGAGAGGCTGCCGGACACCACTCTGGTGTGCTGGTCTGTGCTGCAGGACGGCGTGACGGTGCAGAAGCTGCTGGAGGAGGAGGGGCCCGTCTCGAACAAGAAGCCGCGGAAAGCGGAGCTCAGCAGGGCCAAGCTGTACGGCCGGTTCATCAAGGTCGGTCAGGCTGACAGACAGGGGGCGCCGGGGAGCAGGGGGGGCAGGCGGGAGAAGGGATCGGGCAGGAAGGATGGGGGGGGGCGAATGGGATTGATGTGGGAGAGAGATTCCGAGGGCAGCAGCGGAAATTACTTGGAAGCAGATTTAAACTGGAAAAGGGGGCACTTCTTCACAGAGCGGGCTGTGGGAGTAAGGGGTTTAAACCCAGTGCAGAATGAGCCACCCAGGAGATTGCAGAGATCCAAAGATCAATTAACTACCAAACGAGCCAGTTGGGCCAAACAGCCTCTGGGTTGTAACCTTCCTCGTGTGAGAGGCAGGGTGATGTAAAGTGGTCTCTCTGAGGTACAGAGGCCTGTACTGCCACGCCGGGAGTGGACTGTGTGTCACTCGCGCTGAGCCCCGCTGTGTCTGTGCGTGTCGTCCCATTGGGTCAGGTGGCCTCCTCTCATGTAGAGCCATTCTTGGGTTTCTTTCTCGTGTTGTTAGTGAGCGATGGGTTGAACCTTGATTACAACTGCGGTCAGTTCCAGGCCAGCGCCTGCAGTAATCGTGCCCTTGCGGTTGTGCAGGAAATTTGGGAGAATGTACATCATTCAATACTGACAGGAGAAGGACTTAAGCCAAAAAAGATCCAAACTGTGCAGGAGCACGGGACTGTTCCAATAGAATATTCAATACTGACTGGAGAGCAGGGTCATTCCAATGGAGTGTCCAGGCTGTGCAGGACAGTGGGATTATCCCAATGGAGTGTCCAGGCTGTGCAGGACAGTGGGATTATCCCAATGGAGTGTCCAGTTTCAAGGAGGTGTGTGACCCGATTCCTCTTTCTCTCCCTCTGCAGTCGGCCACCCTGCTGTCGGGGGAAGAGCAGGCCGAGGAGAAGCCGGGGAGCTCGGCGGACAGCAGTGACTCCGAGGACGAAGACCGGAGATTGGACCTGTCCTCCACCACCAAGTGAGCACAAAACACAATTGTAACAGCCTGTGGAGTTAGGGGGAGTGTGAGCCCACCAAAGGCCAGCCAGTTCCAAATGAGCACAGAATTCACATCATATCAAATCTTTTTATTCGCAGTCCCTTACAGTAATAATGTTTGATCCAAGTCGTGGCCTGGGTGTCATGCGCTTGTCCTTGTAAATGCCTGTGGTTACGTTCAGAAGAAACCCTTAATTCCATGGCTTTGGCGGAGGACAGCAGTGTTGCCAGCCGTCAGTCTCTGTGTCATGTGAGAACAGGTGGAGCGCTGCTCGCGATCGCACTGACCCAGGGCCTCTCTTCTCTGTGTGTGGGCAGGTTGTCAGATGATGACCTCATCAAAGTCTGCGGGGGGCGCACGGCTCACAAGTAAGTTACACCCTACCCGCTGGCGACGGGGTGACGGATATCCTCATTGACCTGGGCTTTAGAATGTTTTCAGTCATGTAAGGAAGCCTTTCTGCATATTGGACGGTTTCAGAACATGTTCAACATGTCCCCCTCCATGCTTTCACACACCCTGCTTGAGGGACAGAGCTCAGTGCTCGGAGCCCGCTCCAGAAGAGTCCGGCGCTGTGTGTGCTAGGAGCCTGCGGGTGGCCGTGGCTGAATCCCAGCAGGAGCAGAGTAGAGATGGGCGTCACACCTGTGTGTTTGCATTACGCTGCACAATTAGAAGCGTAAGATATCGGCAAACCTTCTCAAAAGAGCCCCAGAATCAGAATGAGCCTTTGCTGTTGGCCTCAGAATGGCAAACGTTTAACTAAAGTTTCTTTGCATGGTTGCAACAGAACTCCATCTTAATGCTCAATGTGTAGCGAACTTTTCCCCTCTCTGTGTGTCATTACACTGGGTGAGAGCTGTTGAAGAGAGGATTTCCCATGTCCCCTTTTTTATCTTCGTGGAAGAAATTCCAGGCTGCAGAATTCATACGAAACAAAAGAATGGTCAGGTGAATTAAAAAAAAAAAATCACCCCTGCATCAGATTATAAATTACAGGGGCACTTAAATTCCTGAAGCCTTATACTGCTGCTGTTCCAGACGATGCATCATCTAGTGTTCAGTTAAGGTGTTTTTTTGGGTTGTTGGTTGCATTTTCTTGAAGGCGATGTTTTGCCAGTTATGTAAGATGACTTAAGCTAAATTTTCTCTCAAGGGGGTTGCACAAAGCAGTAGAACTGCATTCATGTCAAAGTTAAGTGAGTATCCGTATTTAATACTTAGGATGTTTCATATGAACAGGTAAAGGTTTATTCCCTGCTGAAAAGAAAAGAGACAGCGTTTCGGCTGTGGAGTCTTCTTCAGGTGACAATAAACAAAGAAGACTCCATAGCCGAAAAAGTTCTCTTTTCTTTTCCTTTCAGCGTGGAGTAAACCTGTTCCATTGCAGCCTGCAAGCTCCCTGTTTGAACTTCAGTTAGAGCGAGCTCTGTATGCACGAGAGAAAGCCTTCCTAAAAATGTCAATGCTCCACCTGCATTTTTTTACTGTCAATGTCAAGAATCGCACACACAGAAAGTCTTGAGGAAACCTGGGTATGAAGCGTCCTTCATAGATTATATTGTGAAGGTTTTGTTAGTTACGGCTTCTTTCTCAAGTCAGGCTGGCATTGTCTGTCAGGGGAGTACGGGCACACGTCCCGGAAACAACTCCAGCCCATGTGATCTTACTGAGGCGCGTGACGCACGACCTCATACTCGGGTTTTATCCCAGTAGAAGCTAGTTGCGCACTGGAAACGAGGAAAACCAGTTCCTTCCAGGCTTGACTCTTCCAAAAAAAAAAAAAGTCCAGAGAGAGTTAGTTTTGGAAAGAGGGAATTCAGTTCATTTTTTGAGCAGAGGGTGCCGTTTTTTAAATAAAATGCATAGTTAACAGTAATGCAAAATGAAATCCTTTACTGTTTCTGCATTGCCGCTACCTTTCCTTCCTCAATGAGAAGCGGTCTGCGACGGGCATGTGTGCTGTTGTTCCAGGGGAGCCCGGCACGGCTTCAAGATGAGCGCCAAGCTCGCCAGGCTGGAGCAGCAGGAGAGGGAGTTCCTGGAGAAATATGGCAAGAAATCCCAGGCAGGGGGCTCGGACGCCAGCCCCGCCAGCAGGGGGCAGCAGCAGCAGCAGCAGCAGCAGGAGGAGGAGGAGGAGGAGGAGGAGGGCAGGACAGGCAAGAGGAAGAAGAAAAAGAAGAAGCAGCAGCAGCGCTTGGAGGAGAGGGAGGCCCTGATGGAAGAGGAAGGGCACTGCTCCGAGACGGGGGCAAGTGGGCAGCAGGATTTGCCCCGGAAGAAGAAGAAGAAAGGGAAGAGGGGTAGAAGCGAGGCCATCCTGGAGCAGGAGCAGGGAAATAGTGCCGGAGAGGAGGAGGAGGAGGAGGAGGAAGGCAGGAAGAAGAGGAAGAGCAATAAGAAGTGCAGACAAGAGCCCGAGGAGGAACAGGCAGAGGACTCGGAGAGGAGCAGGAAGAAAAAGAAAAAGAAGAAGAAAGCACAGGATGAGTGAGGGGAGTGAGCCAAACACTCCTCTGATTACGCTTCTATTGGTAGAACTGCTGTACTGGTCCTTGTGCCCAAACTGTGAACTGACACATTGGAAAACACCAGGCCTTGCTCATGGGGAACGACTGCAGTCTGGGGGAGGTTTGCACACAGCCGATTGCACTGCCAGTATGGGCTCGGACTTGTCCCGTCTCTCTGGAGGGTGTGAGGGACTTGGAACAAAGAATTGCTTTTTTAACCAATAGAAATATGATCCCGTGACTCAAAGGACAGATTTGCTACAATTTTTTGCATCTGGCCTCTGTTTCAATAATCTCCCTGAAACACAAGCTAAAGACCGCTGCTGTTGTCAGTACAGCTGTTCACAGAATTGGAAGCTTCGCCAGCACAGGTATAAGGCGTCTGCCAGACGCTGGTGCCTCAACTCTGAAAGACACTTTGTCAAAAACGCAGAGGATTGACAAAGCTGAAATCGCATGCCGAGGAATCGGAAAGCTGAGGGCCGTGCAGCTGAATCAGGACCTCCTCCCTTCCCCATCCGTGAAAGAGGTTTCTGGGTTTGCACCGGTGGCTGCTCTGTGTGAGACAGAATGTCTCGAGGCCGGGGCCTGGCTGTAGAGCTTTTCTCAGCTCTTCCCCTTGCCTCTGCAGAAACCAGTAAAACCTGCCTACCCGCACTGGAGCTCCTCAAGCACTCTTTTTCCCTTAATGTGGCAGCTGGCCCCAGCGCTTCCAGCTGCAGTATGTGACAGCCTTGTACTGATGGAGCACTTAAGGGAAAAATTCAACTTTGTACAATTTTGTACAAGCGGCCAGGAGATTCTGATTTTTAACTGAAGTCTCAGTTGTCACGTGTCATATTTTAACAATAAAAATGTCCAGTTACCCCCGTTGTTAATCAATTTATACTATTAGGGAAATAAAATGTCTGTTGCAGTGAAAACTGGTGATCAGAAATTTTTCAGCCCTGGGGTTAAAAAAATAAACACTTTGTGGTCTTTCACAGATAAAGAAAAACATCAGGTGAGCTGGAGCCCCTTATTTTATTCAGGAAGAGTAACATTTCCAGGATCGAGAGATGGTCTTGTTCTTGTGGGGTTCTCCGTCTAGTGAGGAGATTTCCCCTTTGACTGCACTCTGAGTTACACATGCCCTTGCTGAGTTTCAGCGAGGTCACCCATGAGCTTCTGCTTGTGTGGCGCTGTCCTCCCTCAGGACTGCAGGAGCATTAAGAAGATCCCCTTAAAAAAAACTGCAATAACATCCTGTAGTCAGGAAGGGACTGAGCTGCAATGGCTGTTGCATTTCACTGCATGATCATGAACTATTGAAATTTCCTACAGCAGCCCATTGGCTGCCAAGGGATCAGAAAGATTAGTTCTATGTGGCTGAATCAGGACATCTTCCTTTTCTCATCCAAGAAGGTTTCTGGGTTTGCACTGGTGGCTACTCTGTGTAAGACAGAATGGCCCTGTATTGTAGCCTGGTGCTTGAACTAAGGCACCAAGCTAACCCCCCTAGTCTACTGCATCACTGTACATGCTGTGGCACTGTGGTGTGCAGTACCCCCCCCCCACACACACTGCCCTGGGCGCTACATCAGCCGGCGGACGCAGTCTGTGCTTGGGTACTCGGGCAGGTTGAGCTGGTATTTGCTCTCCAGCGCCTGGGGCACAAAGCGCCCCCCCAGGTAGTGGTATCGCCCTCGGAAGAGCTGGGCGGCCTTCTTGGGGGCGGTGAGAGAGATGAGCATGTCGGGCTGCAGGCCGTCGGGATTGCCCTTCTCCACATCCCAGCCTGGGGGGGAGGGAGAGAGAGGATGAGCTCGCTGCTCCTGTCTTCACACGGAGGAGGAGTTCCACAGCCCCGGAGTTCTTATCCCACCATGAGTGAAAAAAGGAGATGAAAAGCACTGCAAGGTGTCGTCGTTAACCGGTCACAGGTCCTGGACCCCTAAACATTCCTGTTTGCATTTCAACCCAGTTGTTGCAAAGCAGAACATACAACTCACTGAGGACTCCTATAAACCTCGCATGCCTGGGATAGAGTTCTGCGATGCTGCAATGTCTGAGGGCTTTTAACCAGGTTAAAAAGCTTCTATCAAACGATTAAGACCCTTAGTTTAAATTTCCCTTTAGTTCTTTAAGGTTTAAGGGTGTTGCATAAAGAATCTAAACACGTGGTCAAGACAAATGATGTACTTGTGGAGACACTGATTGCATAGAAACATGAGCATTAGATATGTCTTCTTTTCCTTTCATGATTCGGAAATATCATCAGAGGTACTTTCAATGATCAGCTGATGGGGCTTTGTACAACATCCTTAAACCCAGTAAACACTTGAGAAGACAACTAAAGGAAAGGTTAACTTGAGGCGTTTTATATAACTGGCAGACGGACTTTGAGCTGCTGTCTTGAGCTCAGGCCGTGCCCTGTACTGACCAGAGGGGATGTCGATGCTGGCGATGGGCACAGTGACTTTCTTCAGGGTGCTCAGGATGCCTCCGAACGGCTCCCTCACGGCTCCTTTGAAGCTGAAGCCGAAAATGGCATCGACCACCAGGTTATAGGCCTCGTCGATCAGCTCCGGCTGCCAGGCGGAGAGGGGAGACAGTCAGCCAGAACCACACAGATCAACATAGTCCTTCACTTTCAAGCCTGCAACAGACTCGGTAACAAAACGTGACACTACAGGGTTTGGTCTGCCTGCAGCAATTGTGTACATCAGCTGCTAAATCCATTAACTGAGTGTTAACGGGAAAAAATTACAGACACTAAAACTTTGTCAACTAGATTTGATCATTGGCATAAATAGATTAAGTCGATCAGTAATCAAGCAAAACTATTCAACTTTCATTCCAAAGCTGTCTTACCTGTTTTTTGTTTTCATTTGAAAGGCAAATTTAAAACCCCTTCCCTGGGCCGGACTGTTATTTCAAAAGCTGGTAACAAAAAAGTATCTTATCCAGGGAGCAAAATGCACCCCTTAGTGGTCAGTTTCAGTACAGCACTGATGGCTCATTACTGAACATACAGTAGTGCTCTAAGCTTCCTCCCACCTGTTCAACTCAGCAGAACATGTGCACTTACACCAGCACCACCTGCACAGCAGTTTATCATAATTTTCACCGCCTGTGGTACATAAGTATCCCTTCTCCAAGACCATCTGCATCAGGCCCTGCGTCAGGCGTGAAGCCGAGCAGTACCCGTCACTGTGGTGTTTGAGTGCATCGTTTCTGTGCTCGGTGTTTTGCCTGCAGAGACGCCTGACGAAAGTGGTGGCGGGGGGGGTCTGCCCACCTCGGCTGGCACCTCGGGCAGGAAGCGGAGGCCCATCTTCTCACACTGGACGGTGAGGCTCTCGAACAGGGGCTTGCTGGGCCGCTTGGGGTACACGATGGCGGGCTCGTATCCCTGCAGCGACAAGCAGACAGCCCTTGGTATAGAACAGCATAGGCTGAATGTGCCGAGAAAAAGCGCGCCCGGCGCGTGCTGGAATTCAGGGCGCGGTGTGCACCCCAGCTCCCCACAGGAGTGCGTCGACTGTTGGCACTGCTTTACTGGTAATAATGGGTGAGACTTATGTACAGTTCAACAGCCTGGGCTCTGGGAGCAAGACTGCTTCTCTAAAGGCATGGACCTTTATGTGTTCACACCTAGATGTGAGCAGTTAACTTGGCTAACAGGCTCGTTATTGATACCCCTGTACTTCAAAGGGCTAATCAAATCTGCCAGTAATTTCTTTATTAATTCTGCCTATGTGTTGCATGCTAACAAGGTGGTAAGCTCTGTGTGAATGAGGAATGAGGGTTCAGGTTTGTAACCAGAAACACTTTCATTAACTTGTGTTGTCTTGAACTGTGTCGATACTGAAAGAGTTTGCTATCGCCAGTTATGATCTGCGTGATCTATGATCAAGTGTCTGAGTGATAAATGGACTAGATGGTTATGCAAACACCCACAGCACCACTGTGCTGCCCTCGCTTATTCTTCTACCAAATCACATATTTCACATACATTTCTATACGTCGGTATTTGTGTGCATCTTAATTGCTCAGTGGATCATTACACTGAATAAGCACATGGGGAATTATCAAACACATGCAGTAGCAATCTCTGTTGGAGTCAGTACTACCTTTTATTACTAGTCTTTATGTCACTGTGGCTTATGTCCATAAAACCAGAATTTATCACCGTGCTAAATTCATACCACAAATCTCCAAACAATAAAGTACCCAAACCCTTCAAAGCTGTAAGTGCTGGCTCAAGGCTTGTGGTTTTTTAGATCTCAGCTCTGTCCTACAAGTATTTTATGATCTTCTTTATCTATCCTGGTTATTGTTAAAACTCGTTAAAGCATCATGCATTGGAGGCAGGAGAGGAAACACTGCTTGTAGAAATCTCCGTCATCTAAGACGCACGGCAAGTGCAAACTGTGCTCTTGTTGTGCTGAGTGGTCCTGCCATCCGCCCCTCCCAGAGACCAGTGGTCCCGAGAGAGGCTGGGAGCGCCCTGGGGCGGCACAGGCTGGCACACAGCGTGCAGCTCGCACACGGGGCCCAGGACACAAAGGAAAGGACATCATTCGGCCCTTCCTGGACATCCAGTTCAATTTCTCTACAGTTCCTGGTTGTACTGGGTGGAAACAACCCCGCCCCCCCAGTATTAAACTCACTGAACCCCCCCTGGAAAAGTGAGCTGCTGTTCAGCCCTAACCTGAATGGGATGGGGCACCCTGAGAAAAACCCACATGGACACAAGGGGAACATACAGACTCCATATAGACAGCCCCTCCAGGCTGGAATCAAACCCAGGGCCCTGGAGCTGGGAGGCAGTAGTACTAACCATAATGCCACTGTGCTGCCTGTCATGTATGCCAAAAAAACAACAACAAAGCCGCTTGAAACAACACAGCTCAGTGATCAAATTGGTTACATACATAAGTAGGGCTAAGGGGAACATTTTGATAGAGACTTCAGAAGGCCCTAAGAACAAGGTTGACCATCAGGGGACTCATGCCAATCATCATGGTGCAAGCTAGCGTCCTCCACTGCCCCCTGACATCTCTCCTGGTTCCTTACAGCTCCTTTTGAATGTGCACTCGGCAATCCTCTGAGCACTAAGGAGGAAAAGAACAGGACGCTCCTCTACACAAAGAGTGGTGGTTGCCCGGAACAAGTTACTCGGACATGCTGTTGAAGCCAACAACCTGGTTCCCTCGAGACATGACTGGACGAGACTGGACCAGCGATCAGACACGATGGCCTGGCCGAAGGGCCTCTTGTCTGTAAGCTGGCGCAGCGAGGAGCTGCGGACACTCACGAAGAGCTTGAGGTGGCGGGCACAGACCAGGCCGTCTCCCCCGTTGTTGCCTGGACCACAGATTACCAGCACTGCAGGGGGGCTCTTGGTCAGAGAGGACACAGGATACGCCTGGAACAGGACACAAGCGGCCTGTTAGTGCACAGAGCACCCTGATCCATGAAGGCTGGAGCATAACACTCTCTCTGAGAGACACACACCAACTCCTCACACACTCTCTCACTAAAAGCAACGTCATGTAAAGGGGGGTGGAGGTGGATATCCCTGATTCTGGAGAATCAGAAAGCAGCAGGACTCATGGACTGCCTTTAATTCAACATTTTGTGAAGACTAGGAACACGTGGGATTATGATCAGTTCATTAAAGAGGCGGAGCAGTGGCTCTGTGGCTAAGGATCTCATCTGACCGGTTTTGTTCTGAACTGTAATTTATGCAAAAGGCTTAGATTACAAATAACAGTTCCCATGGGCGGGGGGTTAGGGTTAGAGCAAGCTGGGGTCTGTGAAAAGACAAATTCCTAATGCAAGAAATTGTATAGTGCCAATAAAGTGATGTTATCTTAAACAGTTTGGTTAGGATTGGCCAGCTGTGGTCCGTACAGAATTAAGTGGCATTGGTATTTTCATTTAGAATGATTTCCACACCAGTCTTCTTAATCTTAAAGTGTCAAGATGAAACGGTTCAAAGTGGTTAGAAATGAGGCTGATCTGAGGGTGACACAGAAAACCTGCAGGGCTGAGACTCTTTAGGACCAGGGTTGGCCAGCACTATCAACACACCTTCAATTACCCTTTTCATTCTAATAATTGTATCATTACTATTCCTCCGATGTTCTTGCTGGCTGATGCAACGTACTCAATTTCATACACCACCATTACTTTTCTGTTTTCAGACTGGGATCCCATCCAGAGTGAAGTCCTGCCTTCACTGAGCCTTTTTTAATCATCCCAGTTTTATCCTGCAAAACCAGGACGTTGTCCAAAGCTTATTAGTCAGGTCTGCTGTTGCCTTCTGCAATGCATCAAGGACACGTGCCC